TTCTTCTGTTTTAATATTATTTATAAAACGATATTTTGGTCGCTTTTCTTTCTATTATTTGGTTTTAACACGGACAGATTTACTTGCATTTGTAACGAAATTGAGCGCGTAAGTGAAACTGAAAGAATGGAAATCTTTATTTATATCGGTTATGGAGATAGAATCCTGGAAAAGTGTGAATTATTTTACAGTACTCTGATCGGCCAATAACATTATACAACAAGATCAACGCAGAGCAAATTTATGTTCTTCATTCATTCATTTAGTCGTTGAAGTAAATATTAATTTTATTTTTTTTATCAATATAATAACTCGAGGTATTTGTTAAAACAAAATATTCGAAAGAAAAATGAGCCAAATAAATTTTTCGAAGGCAGATATTACAAATAGAAATGAAAATTTTCCAGAAGAAATTGTTATGCATACCAAAGCAAATTTGATCATCTTGTATGCATAATTACTCGATATAAAAACTGTGGTTGGTCATAAAAAATTAAACTATGAAGTCATATATTAATGTTTCAACTGTACATTTACAAATCAAGTTTGCTGTGTACTGGAGCAATATTTTTTCTTCACTTGTATAGACTTAATATTCCCTACTACACACTGTACTAAGAAAACATTTGATGTCTACCTATCGCGGATTCCCAAAATAGACAAAATCATAACTCATTTCCGTAATGGCAGTATATTATTTCACGTTGCCGGAAATGTGTAGTAGCTATGAAATGGAAATTAATTCAATTTATCACTACTTGCGTATATGATAAATCGAATCAATGCCGCTCCAAAGATTATTTATTCCATTTTGCTTTACTGCCATCAATGTGCATAATAAAGTAGCTGCACGTGCCCATTGCGAACAGATAAATCGAATTGTTAGGTAGAATTTTGTCCGAAATGATTAACTCCAATTTGCATTGTTGGGTTTATTTATAAATCATTGTCCATCATTCCTGTTCTATTCGGTATCATTAGTGGATATTTTGAATTCGTGATCTTAAATCAACAGAACTTAATTGAATTTTCATTTATTTAATTATGTATATATTATTTTCCTCAATACTGAAACATTTTGGAATTTACTATTGTTGAGTTCAATGCTGTGAAAAAAGTCCTAAAACAAGCTGGCATTATTTCAAATAAAATTCAAATAAAAATGTTAAAAATAAATGTTCCTTACTTTCTATTCAGGTTTTACCTTCATACGTTTAATAATAGGCAGAACTATCCAAATTGAAAACTCACATGCACTTGCACGTTTCATAACCGATTTGCGTAGAAATTGACAGGTTTTTAACAATAAGTCTGATTGACTAAAAATAGTACGAGTTAAAAGATTCTATTGCAAATAAATGGAAAATAGTTTATGTCCCATAAGTTTCCGTTTTGCACCTGTATTTAATAACCATAGTTTAGAAATATTAGAGTTGAACATTAACTTTAGTTACAGTAGACATCTTGAAATGAAATTATTCGTTTTATAATAACCGTTTTTTTTATAGGTTTTACAGTCGAAAAGTGAATATCACTTCATCAATCATGCCCTTCCACCTGCCAGGAAGAGAAGGAGCATCCTACATACAAGAAAACTGAGATCAGATCCTCTGGTGAGCTTCGGGTTGAAAATACAAATACATTCGTAATTATGATGGAGATCCGAAATAAAAAAACAATTATCTATGGGGAATAATGCAGACCTTTTAACCTTATTTCACTTCCTTTTTTTCTTGTTAGGGGCATTAGGGGCATTAGGGGCAAATTAAATGAGTTTGGTTCAACTTTTTATTTCTTTATCTGCGAATTACTATTAGAACTATATTAATGTACACGAATAAAATTGTAGCTTACACAGGCTTTGCAATGAAATTGAATGATAATTTATTAAAATTTGAATGAAATTCAACATATGCGAGCGGATTGCTGGGAAAATGTTGATGACTTTTTTCACTTGTTTTTAGATTTATTTGAAGAGCCGTTTATCAATAATATTTTTTACATTTCTTCAAAATTTCAGAATTTTCCAGTTTTAGCAAATCTACTCTTTTTTCTAAATGTTCAATTTTCAAAAAAATAACTTAAAAATACTGACAAACTTAAGGTATTTTTCGCCAAAAGTTATTTCTTAAATTTTATTAGAACACTCCCCCATTCGCCGCTTTGTAAAAAGTTTTGAAATCTCTTTCCAGCTTCGAATTTGGAATATAAAATCAAATAATTTTTTCTTCCATTTCTCTAACGACTGAAGATTGATTTTTAGTTTTCAGTTTCAGTTTTTTGCTTTACCTTCTACTCAAAAACTCGATTTTGTCAAGTTTTAGATAAAAATACTGACGATCAGGACGAAAGGTTTTTTGCGGGAAAAAGTCTACGCATTATTTTCTAGTTTTCCTTAAAAATACTTCAACAAGTAAGACAATCTTCAGGTATTTTCCGCGAAAAATTATGAAATAAATTTTATTAGAATACTTGCCTCCTTCGTTCCATTGGAAAAACTTTCGAAATCCCTTTCTAGCTTCCAATTTGGGACAAGAATTAAATAATTTTTTATCAAAACACGAACAGAATCAGCGAAAGTTTATAATAAATTATTTAGAAGACTCGTCACCTCCATTCCTATGAAGACCTTGTTAAAAAATGTATTTTTTTTGTTTTGACTGATTTTTTTAATTTGCTTTCTACTCAAAAATGCTCTTTTTTGTAAAGTTGCACTTAAAAATAATGACGATATGGAGGACTTTTACGCGAAAAATTACAAGATAAATCTATAGCTTTGTAGGAATTTTACAACAAAATAAATTTCTCCCGTTTTTTCCCGGATGTCATTAAGATTTTCTCAAAAACCAATCACATAATCGGTAACTTAAAAAAAGTAATCGAAAACTCAAAAAAAAACATTATTTTCTGATGGTTTTCTTCTTTTTTGACAATAATGCGGCGTTTTCTTGGAATTTTTTTTTTAATTTGCCTCATTCATGGGTTTGTGGAGAACTTTAGAAACCGTTTTCAGCTTCGAATTTGGCACAACAACCAAATAATTTTATTCAGTTTTTCAACCGAAAGTAATTAAGATTATCTCGAAAAAACGGCCAGAGCAAAATCCAAATATTTGCAAAATTCGCTACCCTCATCGCTCTGAATATTTTTCAGGTCATTAAAGTTTTAGCAAAGTTTCTATTAAGTTATTAAGCAATTCTTGCTGCGCAAAAAAACGTATTATTTTTACATAAAATACTGACAACCTTCAGGTATTTCTTTGAAAATTATCAAATAAATTTCATTGAAACACTCGGATCCTGAACAGCTTTGCAATTTTTTTTCTGGAAACTTTTGCAGCTTCGAATTTTGGACAAAACCCTAATAGTTTTTGATAAATTTCGGTGTCTTCTCTTTTAAGTCAATATTTCTAAACAAAACTCTTTCTAAACAGAACAACGCGTTTTTTCCTAACATTTTACTGGAAAGTACTGGCAACCGAAACAAAGTTATCGTGTTTTTCTTCGACAAAATTTAGGTTTTCTCAAAAACGACCAGAAAAAGCGAAAGCATGTAATCAATATTTGGAAAACTCGTCACCCTCATCGCTCTGAAATTCTTTTAAGTCTTCAAAATTTTTACGTTTTACGTTTTAGCCCAAATAGTTTCAAGCAATCGCATGCGCAAAATCAATATGTTGATGGCTTTTTTTGTTATATGTTAAAATTCCATTCTTCCATGAGTTAAAACTCATTAACTCAGAGAGCAGCAAAAACTCAAAAGCGCAACTCAACACAGTGTTACTCAGGCCTAGACATTATTCTTTATAAATATGATTTTCCAATACGCTTTAAAAGCATTTCAATGAGTTCAAATGACTTGAACAAAAATAGAGAACAAAATTTGCTCACATTTTGTCTGTGATCTGACAGATTTATTTATTGATATTGAGATTCAATTAACATATTCAGATATTTATTTTAAAGTGAGAAATTAAATAAAATCAGATTCAAATGAGTTTGCTAAATATGCCCAATCAAAATTTATAATCACCAGTTCATTTTTATTGCCATTTGAAACATTTTTTGATTTATTTATTATTCCTGTGATTCTTTTCAGTTGAAACGAAAATCCAGCATTTATTTTATTGTATAGATAACACAAACATTAAAAATATTATAACGTTTGACACATAATACTGCCGCCCACACACATATACTATTTTGAACATTAACTTTAAAGAAGCAATTCCAGTATTAACGGAAATATCAGAAGGGAAATAAATGGATAATTTAATAAAGTTGACAATCGCATATAGCAAAAAATAAAGCAATTTTCTCCGGAACAAAGAGAAGTTTACGTGAATAGGTAGCATAAAAGATGTTCCGTTAAGTCGTTATTATTAAATATGAAAACGGAATCTCAGTCAAGCGGAAATCCGCTTTGGCATAATGGAATATGGGATTATAAGGAACAGCAATCAGAAACGGCTCCCGGATAATATGTCTTAATTAAGTTAGGTTTTTTGGTTTAATACCACGTTTGTACTGTTTCTCTAAATAGAAAAACCAACTACAAAATATGTATAGTTTATATAATAAATATACATTTTGTAGCACCTGGTTTTAACTAAATATGTTTTAATAATGTCATGCTATAAAAAAGGATAAATGAAAGATGTAATTAAAGGTAACTGAAAGTTGTGCTAAAAGATATTTTAATAAATCTAAATACTAAAAATAAAAATTATTGATGCTTCAGTCAGGTTTCACGTTTAAATTTAATAACCTCTAACAAATGGAAAGCTCGTATGCACTTGCACGTGTTAAATTTAGAAAAATGTTCACGTGTCCATTCGGAGCTAAAAGGTTTTGTTTAAAAAATATAAAAATTGACACGTTTTACATACTAAGTATAAATTCCTAAATTTAGTAAGAGCGAAATAATTTATTTTGAAAATAAATGCAGGACGCATAAAAGGTTTACTAGCCATAAAAAGCCTTCAAAATCCCGCTTTGCTGATAAGCGACTGTAATAAAAAAACACAATTTGACTGAAGTAAATAAGTAGATTTAATTGCTTGTCTCAAAATTGCTTGTCCCAAGACTTCCAAGTTTTCTAGTTAATTGTATATTTTCGGATGCAAATCTGGAATAAATTGCTTTACATCAACAGGGACTTTGAACTGGATAGGAAGACCAAGAATTGTTCATTGTTGGAATAATATCAATTAACCGAGAAGTGTTTATTTTTTTTAATCTTTTACCCATGAAATTCACCGAGCTTTAAACATGTCAAGCTTTATATCTTTTGTGATTTCTATCAAGATTCTGGCGTTCATAATATTTTAATCAAACAATTAAGTTCATTCAGATTAGTTTATTTATAAAATTAAACAAATCTTCTAGGCAACCAAACTAAATTAGTTTAATATAACTTTTTCTGTGCAGATCCACAATGCTATCCAACAAGCCGGTTTTCTTAGAGTTAAGCGAGGCTACAAGCCTTTAAAAGTGGAGAATCTAGTGAAAAATATACAGCCACATCAGGATCCCAGCGATCCTTATTTTCCTTTTCAATGGTACCTGAAGAACACTGGGCAGAATGGCGGAAAAGCTAAACTGGACCTCAATGTTGAGGCCGCATGGGCTCAAGGGGTAACTGGGAAAAATATTACCACTGCCATTATGGATGATGGTGAGTGATTTTTTTGAAAATGTTTGATATATTATTATTACATTGAAAATATATTATCGGGTGAGACATTTTATAGAAACGAAAGCTTGGCAGAAGATGAAGAGAAATTTCTATTGACAAGAAAGTGTATTGAAAGTAGGGCGCTTAATACTTATTTTTTTTGCCTCAAGGCTGAATTCAAACTGATTCGATTCTTCGTTCCTACTTTAAAAAACGTACTTCTGATTAAGTAAAGTCATAGTTTTCCAGCGTTTTTAACTTTCTCATGTGCAATTTGACACACAGTTTTACCAGAAACTTACAGACATTTTTTTTAATTGTCAGGATTTAAAGAAGTTTTAAACAAAAACCAACGAGTAAAGCTATAAAAATTCATAGTTGACAACAAATATGCTAAAAAAATCTTTAATACAGAAATTAAATTATAATAATACTAAATGAAACACTTTCAGTATTGACATAAATTTCATTATTTGAGGAGTTTTTTGACTAAAAATAATACAGCCACATTTTAACATAGCAAACCTAAGGCTTTCAAAATTTACGACCGCATTTACGACCTATAAAAAGTAATCCGCAAACAGAAAGTCTTAATAAAAGTCGATAATTTCTGATAAATAGAAAAACATATTCGTCGATATAGATAATTAGAATGTTACTAGCTAGCAAACAAAATCAGATTGTGAATTAAAAACAAAACAACAATATTTATAACTTCATGGTTCTAGATGTGAAATTTTGTCTAAGAGAAGCTCTAGAACTGTGAAAATATGAAAGTAACATAACACTTTCAAGAAGTATATAAAAAGTTAATTTTTTTCTGCAGTTACGTGAAAACTGTGTGAAATTTTTTCCTTATTTATCTCAAATTCACTATTGTTCAAAATAGAATGTATCAATAGCAGTTTTAACATTTTGTTCTGAAGTTTAAGCAGCGCGGTGCTTATATTGATGTTTCATGAATATTTTACTAACCCTGAACAGCCCAGTTCCCAGTTGCTGTTTGAAGACACATTCACATTGAAGCAAATGAAATTCGTTTTTTTATTATCTTTATGGATTTTAAAATTGATTTTGAGTGCTGCATTTCAAAAGACTTAATTTAGTTTCTACTTTTTTTACGTTTTTAATATTATAAAATGAACTAATATAAAGCAGCGTACTCAATTTCTGTAGCTAAGATATATACTTAGAAGTAAATGACCCTCTATATATAAACTGACAAACTTCATTCACAAATCGTAAGTAGTAACAACTTTCATTGTTTCATTCAAGTTGCAGTAGTTCAAATATGCTTTCACACTTCAGGTGTTTTCTAAAAATCTGGTTCTTTTATCTGACTTGAAGCTAATAAAATGTTCAATAGAAACAGACCATTCCTTAGATGTTATGAAATCTTCAGCTTTCACAGCTTTTCGTCTTTTCTATAAAAGCCAGAGACTTGGTTTCGTAGCGAATAAATAGCGGCAAAGAAAACACGCGAAACGGATTCCGAACAAAGGAAAGTTTCTGAGTGAGAATCTGAGAAGTTTCCTCTTTGTGATCTCTAAAGGAAAAACAGCAATTAATTTGAGATTGCGTGGGAAACATATTCCACGTGTAAGGATGGTTAATTTTGGTTATTTAACAAGCAAATAAATGTAATTATATCGTGTTAGTAATTAGCTCTGCGACTCGATTTTATTAAGGAACATTCGTTGAAAATAATTCAAGCATTCATGGAGGATTAATTAATTTTAAATAAATTTACTGGGTAAATAAGATAAAAATATTAGTCTACTTATGAAACTGGAAGAAACGTACGATCGTTCACTTCTTCAAGTTTTCTTGTATGTACGAAATAAAGGAGATACACGTTGCTAATTTTTTAATGAAAATATCCTCTATATCGCTCACTTAAACAATTTAAATGCTTTCGTCCACATATTTCCTTTGGTTCTTTAATTCGTGCAATTTTTGCTTTATAAAGTTTTCCGCAGAATGTCTTTTCATGTTTTGTGTCAGCCGAATATTTAAAACAGATTGTATGTTTAAAATAAACGCATTAATTCATCCGATTTTCTTTCCAGGTGTTGATTATATGCATCCCGATTTAAAGTTCAATTATGTAAGTACGTATTGTTATGATATTCACTTGAGTTTAATTATCTGGAATATTTCCTGCTGATGTTAAAGTTTAGTTTGTCAAATGCGAGAAAAACAATTTAAATACTTAAAAACGAAAACAATAAAGTAGTGAAAAATTTAAATAAAATAAATCATTTTGAATGTGTGGGAAGCAATAAAGCAAGGCATACAAATAATCCTTCCAAATTTGCTTTATAAACCATTTATCTGTTTTTTCTAAGGAAAAATTTTTGGATATACTTAAAACAAACGGACGGTTGTTTAAAAATAAACTGCGTTTTAATCAACTTTGGTAAATCTTAGTAAAAAAGTGAACACATTCTCATAAACATCCTGGTTGACAGTTTAAATCCCAATACAAATTGCTTTTGAACGAAAAAAATCAAGTAGAAAAGGTGTTTTTGTTCCAAAAACTAATTTGTTTGGATATTTACTACTGCTAATTTAATTGTGCATTTTCCACACAAAATGCAATTTGTACCAAAAGTTTTGCCATTTTTATACCGCCTTAGACAGTTAGTTATATGCAGATAGATATGCATATAGAATAAAATACATATTTCATATCATAATATCACAACATAATATTTGAGGGATTTCTAAAGCGAAGATAATAAAACTCCTTGGGATTTTGTTTCAGAATGCGAAGGCGAGTTTCGACTTCAGCAGTAACGATCCATATCCGTATCCTCGATATACAGACGACTGGTTTAACAGGTATAATAAAAGCAATTTCTTATTATCAATAAAAATGCTCAGGAAAACTAATGTAACTTGAAACTGAAAAAGATTATAAAGTTTTAAATTAAATTTGAACCTAGCATGCAAAATATTGCTTTATATTAAACATTAGTAAGGCTAACATCTGGGAACGTCTATACATATTGCAGAAAAATCTGGTTTCTGGTTATTTTATCAATTGTTTTTAATAATATATTTGATGCTTGTGTTAATACAGGTTTTTCTTCGTTTATTTTACGTTCTTAGAATTTGCAAAAATGCCAGATTCCACGATCTGTATGTGTGAAAAGTGCCGAAGTTGAGAAAAATTATTTTATTCACTTGGATTTACTCTACATACTATTTTCATAGAGAACATCAAAGTTTTGATTTTTATTTTTACAGCCATGGAACCAGATGCGCTGGGGAAGTTGCAGCTGCAAGGGATAATCGCATATGTGGAGTTGGAGTAGCGTATGATTCAAAGATTGCAGGTGAGTGAAATTCAGTTGCTTTTCGTCTCATAAAAGGAGATTTATATCAATTCCATATAAATGTTGTTCGTTAAAATGTGCCAAAAACTGATGTTTTCTAGAAATATTTAAAATGCAAAAAAAATGCAGTGCAACAAATATCCAAAAAATGTTCTTCAAAACTATAATATATAAAACTATAATATAACTCCTTAACTAATAGTTTACAGTTGCAGTTCATTTGGCTATCGCATTTCGTGAATAAAGACAAAAAGTTCAAACAAATATGACAATGCAAAATAATCAGATTATTTAGCAAAATTATAAACTCGAATTTTAGATGGTGCATTTGTGAACTGGAGCGTTATCTTTCAATTAATTAATTCAAAGTCAATAAGTGAGGCTCAGTTAATATTCCAAGGAAGCAAACAAAGCTCTTAAAATAAATCCCTTATCCACCCATAACATGCATAATTCAGAGGAAGGAAATTGGCAGCAAAATTGAGTTATTGGCCTTATTACTTATATAACGATGTAGCAGATTTCTAGGCCAATTAATTATTTCTATCATCTAACATCAATTTTATCTCATTTTTAATTATTTAAATAAAAATAATTCGAAAGTATAAGTATAACTTAATTAAGCAGGAAAACTTTCCCACCAATGTTCATTTAACCTTTTTTACACTCATCCAATATTTTTCAATCACTCTTCCTTGTATTAAGCCGAAGTCGTTCAACTTAACTTCGAATTACATTTCAAACTTATTCCCACGTGGACTTTGCCTTTAGTAGGTTGTAATTTAGTTGGAGGGCAATTTCTCTGCAACAAACTTCCATAAGTACCCGTAGTCCATGTTGTGACACTAAGATCAATTTAGTACATAATCGATATGATACTATGTTCAGATTTATGGACGTTCATTGGATGATTGATTAAACTTGTTTGTTTGCCGTAAATCTAGAGAGTTTAAACTTTGCAATAGTTAGGAAGTTTGCTTTCAACTTCTCAATAGATTATTGAGATATTTAGAGATTTTGTTAGATTTAGGGATTAATAAATATTACATTTTTTCACTAAATTTCCGGAGAAATTTTCTACATTGATTCAGCTCTAATGTTTCATTGATTGGATGAGTTTTGTAACCAGCATCAGCAGTACTGACATGCAAGTAACAAATAATAATTTTACTTATAAAAGAAAGTAAAAAATCCAATGCGAATAGAGCTGGATATAATACAAACTTAAGTTAGAGTTCAAGTTGAACAGGGTATTCCCTGGTTGGAACTATATAAAGTAATATTGTGTAGAAAGAAATTCGTTATTTTTTCAAAACACCTTTTCTTCTACATTTTAACTCAAGCAAAGCCGTTTTAATGAAATATTTATAGATTCAAAACGGACAAAATTTTTGCCGTAACTTTTCAAAAATGCAGTTCCATTATAGTTTGAACCAGGAAACCAAAATCTTTGGTGTTTTATTGATGCTTAACATTAAAACTATTTTGTTCTTTTAGTATGTATTGTAACGATTAAATCTGATTCAGGATAAATTTGAGCAATCTTGAATCTGCTAGTACGTAAGGGTTTAAGGTAAAAATATAAATCTTGGAAAATTAGCCAGTCACGCTCTAAAAACACCTTTGTTTTGCTTTGCTTTATCCATTCGCGAGGAGATTTATTTTCCTAATTTAACATAGATTTCTGTTACGCATTACAATATATCTACATTACATTTTGTCACTTTAAAAAGTATTACAGAAGCCAACTTGAGTGTGCTTATGAGACCAAAGTTTTAAAGATCATCTTTCCGATTTTGCATTTTTAATAGGAAATATTTTTTTAAAACATGGAAACATTTTTATAGTTTCCTTTCTCTTATAGACTGCTCGCAAATTCAGTATAATACACAGATGCAGAATGTAATTTAATTATTTAAAATAATAAAAAGCTTAAAAAAACTTATATTGGATACATTAAAATCGCAGGAATTCGAATGCTTGATCAGCCCTACATGACGGATTTAATCGAAGCCAATTCCATGGGACATGAGCCGAACCTCATAGACATCTACAGTGCTTCTTGGGGGCCTACTGATGATGGAAAAACAGTGGATGGACCAAGAAATGCCACCATGAGAGCGATCGTTAAGGGCGTGAATGAGGTGAGTTAATTTCAACATTAATAATCAAATTTTAATTCATAAAAAAGTCTATTTCATTTTCTTATTGGGTCGTTTGGCCTATTCCAGGCATTGGTTTTCTAAGAAAGTTCAATTCATGCAGAACAGATTGTCATTTTCAATTAAGCTACATTCTGGACATTCGCGTTTGTGTTTTAAACAATTTTGACATTAAAATCTCCTATAATTATAGCAATTTTTTTTTCGTTGTTTTTTGCTGTTCGTACAGCTATTCCGCTTCTTATGCATATAAACCTCATGTTTTACACATATTCATTTACTCTTACATGTATTGTTAATAATAAAATAACTTTTAAAATCACTGTAGATATCCAATGCTAATTGAAATACAACTTTGGTCACAAATATAATTTTTAAGTCCCAAATTTTTCAACATAACTTCTGAGTATTAAATTATTTAAATTTTATTTATATGCATTTTCATATATGCAATTTACAATTTACTGCTCAACTCCATTGTAATTATAATTGTTATTTAGGTGAGTATGAAAGGTTTATAGTTACAGTTTAAATTTGTTATAATTTTCACCTAAAACATCAATGTTAAGGCAATGTCGACCAGCAATATAGAAACTTTTTCTCAAAATATAGATTTTACACTAAATTTGATAGCAATGCAAATAAGGTAATTCAATCACTATCATTCAGTTGGGGAAAAGTTTCCAATGTAATTGAAGACATTAAACATGTAACTTTAGAATCCGTAGGAAATTAGCAAAGTTTCATGCGCAACGGGGCAACTTTGCAAGAGGTTTGATAAGCCATCCAAAGAACGTGTTATAGTTTGTGGAACAAAACGGAGCCTCTGCTTACAAGATGGATATTTTCATCTATGCGTCCTTTAGAAAATTATAAACCTTTTATTATTTTTTTATTTATTAGAATACTTTTGAGCGGCAAATCTACCGGTACAATTGAATACATGTTCTAAAGCCCAAAGTCCATTATATCCCTGATGTGAGTTTTATGGGGCAATGAAATTGAGCGTGCTTTGAACGAGTACTTGCCCTAAGTGATTTATTAATTTTTTGTGGAAACGAGAATAAAGCTTATTTATTTTCAGGCTTTACTGGACGTCTATAAATCCTATTTAATAGGAGAACTAACAAAGACCGTACATTTATTTCTGCTGATAGTTTCGTATAGAATATATTATTTTTTTCAGATAATTTTCTGAATTCACCCAACCATTCTTCGGAGTGAAAATTCAGATTTACCACCAAAGCAAAAATTAATGCGGTCTGTTTTTTATTGGATCCTCCCATAATACTAATGTACAGTAGTCCATGAAATTCCCCTTGTTAATAAACAGTCCTTGAAACTCGCATCATATTTCAGTTGTGAGAATTTAATTTCCCAACTTGAAATAGAGATTTCGTCTAATTAATAATGAATTCCACATTTTCACAACATGTCACAAATGCGAGTTTCAGGATTTCGTCGTTTTCAGCAGGTTTAGAACTATGAGTAGCAACTAAAATAATTCAATTTTTATTAAAGTTTGGAAAATAATGGAGCAGATAACTGGACAAGTTTCCCCAAAATTAGCAAAGTTTCACGTAACCGAAAAACTTTTCCAATGCTTTCATTCAAGTATTCTTTGATAAAGAAACGGAACTGCTCATAGAGAATTGTTCTTTTTATCTAGTAAAGTTGCAGGATTTGATTGCCCTGAAATTGGTTCCTCAAACTGAGGCAAACAAGCGCTTTAATTGCCTATTTCGTATACCGAGTTTAAAATTTCCAATTTGTAAAGCCATACGATTTTAATTAAAATGTGATATTGTTCTTCATGCGAAACGTCTCGTCTGGAATATAAAGCAGCTTTTAAAGTGAATAGTGTCCAAGAGTAAACATTAAAATTCCTTAGTCTAAATTTAATGAAACAATTATAGTGTACGTCACAAGAATGAATTAGCCTAAAAGATTTATTCACTTCCTTCGTCGTAAAAATAATAGAAATAAACGCAGACTTTATAAGAAACCTTAATCAAAATGTACGTTTGCACGCCAACTAGTATTTAAGATTAAAATAACCGAAGGGGAAAGATCAAAATGGAAATATTCCTGATTCGAAGGCAAAAGCGTTTCAAATAATTTCTCGTTCGCTTATTTGAAGTTACTGAAAATCAGACATTTTTGAAAATATCGGAATTGATTGATTGGATATCGCACGTGCTGCCTTTCATGAATTTTATGTTTATTATGGAAAATTGTAAAATATCAAACTATAAAGCGCTGCCTCGTCTTTAAAACAGTTTTTCTATTGAATACAAATCTTTGGAAATATCTTCCTATCACTAAATTGGTCTCACCACAAGTTTCTGACTTCTAAAGACAAATAGGCAAAATTAATAAAACCTAAAGGTTTGAAACTAATTTTTTTGGCTCAATCCTCGCTTTCAGAAAAAAATGAATTTACTGAACACACTTCTAAAGGACGTTGTGCCATTTTTGATACTCATTAGTGTTGGAACTTCAAACAGATTAAACCCAAATTTTGATTGATTCTTGGAACAGAGAAATTTCATTTGAGCTCGGGAACGGTTGAAACTTATCTGATTAATCAATATATCCTTTTCGATAGAGCGATTTAAAGAGCTTCTTACGAGCGGTCTTTCGTTAATTAAGATTTATCAGAAATATGTCTTCTACAGAGATAGAAGTGCAATATTAGAACCTTGTTTATTAAAGGTTTTTCGAACTGTTTTTATTTTATTCTTATTAATGAATATATTTAAGCTGGCATTCTTAGGTCCCATGGAAAAGTTTACAACATTTTCGTAAAAAACTGAACTTTTGAAACTTTAGAGATTTTGAGTATAACTAATTACTAAGAGAATTGGAACGAATCGACCGCATTTTTCAAGCTCTTCAATTTAATTTGCAAGCTCAGAATATTCGTTTAAATAAATTATTCATTTAAATAAACAACTCAATTAAAATGAAAACTTTCAAACTATAAACTCTACAAACTTGCCAATGAAACAGGCAGCGTAATGTAATAACTCTCACTGCCATGCTGTCTCAAACTACTTTAAGTAACTGACGTTGCTTTCAAAGTTGTTTCATATTCAGCCCTTTTGATGTTTGTTTCGTTTATTTGCTAAATTCTTGTCGCATATGACAAAATATGCGCTCTATAGAAACTATGTAAAGTTATTCAGTTGCCATCATTCAAGCGGGCTTAAGTTTCGAAGCTAATAAAAGATAGTAAAGAGGCAAAGGATATTTTGCACAAAATTACGAGAGTTTTATGTGTACCAAGGAAACTTTTCAAATGCTTTGAAGAACTACCTAGTAACGCTTCATAGTTTTAAGCGAAAATTTATTTTAGCTTAGAGGCACGAATTTGCCTTTATCTGATTCATTCAAGAATTAAGTTTTGAGGTCCGTTTTCCAAACTTTTCCGGGCTTCCAAACGAGATCTGGATTTGCCTATTTAATTTTCCAGGGAATTTTAATTATAATGCAGTGATAATTGGAATAGTAGCGCTCCAAGCCTAAATTGAAATAGCTTCGACTTAATTAGTGCGACAATTAAACTGTGTCGCGAAAATAAACGATTTATCAATGTGTCTGAAGGTACTTCTTTTCTTTGTCGTCTGCAAAAATTAAAGCCACGTTGCTGTTTTCGAAATCGGCCATAAAAACCAGGGTCCCCTTGATGATTTTGAAACGTTCTTAAATTTTAACGCCTTTTTTTGTTTTGTCTGGGGTTATCTCCAGAGTAGTACTTTCAAAAATGTTATTAAATTTGTATTGCATTTTTATGTTTTATCTACCTTTTGCAAGTATGAAAAGTTTATTTCATTCCCAATCTGTTTTAAA